ACCCTGTGGGCACCATGAGGCTCCCTAGCCCTGCCTGGGTGCAGATCGAAGGCAGTCTGGGGCTGAATTTGTCTGGGTTCGGGGGGACACTAACCCTCCTGCTCAACCCCAATGAAGTGTCTGCCTAGACATGGAGTTTGTGTCTTTATTCTCACGTGCCATGTGCTTGTCGCCCATTCACTGTCGGGCTGTTCCCCACCCTGTTCCCTGCAGCACAGCACCCCCTAGTACCACACTGGGGCATCAGGGCCAGCCCTGACTGCAAAGTGAGGGCCCCCCTCACTGGACCACTGATTGCAGGTACAGAGAGCTTAAGACATTTGCTTGCGATGACGCTTCTCAATGGTAAGTCTGGTAACACAATGGAAAAGTCCCCATCACCCTTGTTCTATGCACTAGACCCCACTCCGCTCCCAGAACTGGGGAAAGAAGCCAGGAGTCGTGGCTCCCAGCTCCCCCACTACCCCGCTCTAACCCACTCCACCCCATTGCTTCCCAGTAAAAGTCCCTACTGTGCAAAAAGCACTGCTTCCTGCCCTAGCCACTCTGACTCCCTGCAATGATCAATAACCAGCATCACTATCACCTCCCAGTCTGACCAGTGCACCCCACCCCCAGGAACGCAGCCCTGTGCTGGCAGCCCTGGATGCCCCAGCTGCCTGCAATGCCACATCACCCCCTGCAGCCTTGTCACTTCCACCAGCAGCCAGATTTCCTGGCTACTCTGAGTTTAATGTATGAAGATCACAAAATGTTTCAGTTTAACAGAGATTATTCTTTCATAGTCTATCAGGGTTGGAAGGGACCTCAGGAGGTCATCTAGTCCAAACGATTGCTTAAAGCAGGACCAATCCCCAATTTTGCCCCAGATCCCTAAATTGCCCCCTCAAGGATTGAATTTACAACCCTGGGTTTAGCAGGCCAATGCTCAAACCACTGAGCTACCCCTCCCTCCTCAGCCAGGATTGGCAGAAATGTTGTCCCTAGACTCTGTTGGCCAGAAGGTGGGAATGGGCGATGGGATGGATCACTTGATGGCTCACCTGTTCTGTTCACTCCCTCTGGGACACCTGGCATTGGGCACTGTCGGCAGACAGGATACTGGGCTAGATGGACCTTTGGTCTGACCCAGTCCGGCCATTCTTGTTCTTGTTAAGATTTTACAAGTTGCACATCTCTTTATATGTCACTAAAATCCAGCCCACGAGTTTGTCCCGGTTCCCTAACTTCTTGTTCTGTTCTTTCCTTATCTTTGTTTTGGATACCAGCATTCCAGGTACTAGTCTGTGAAGATACTTCCTGAGCTTGTATGACTATCTCTTGATTTTGGCAAGTTTCCTATCTGCTTATGCCAAACGGCTTACTTCAGCAAAAACACAAGGAGTTATGGGATACGTAGCCTAAGGGAACAGTGTTATGGTATAGGCCAGTTTAGCCTGTATCCCTGTTACAATATTTGTGCTGAATGTTACTGCTACTTAATACATGCTAATATACATTGATGGTGCAGTGTGTGTGTGTATATATATATGCTAGCCAGCAGATATTAGTCAACAGATGGATGACCAGTGATTTTGGGGTCTCAGTTTGGGGTCCCAGAGGGGTCTGATTTTCAGAGGCAGGGGGCTCAGCACTTCCTGAAAATTAAAGTGTCCCAAGTAGGGCCTTAAAAATCTCTACTCACTTCTGCAAATCTTCAGCCCTTTGCTCACGTCTCATTGTCTCCCAAATGCTCTAACTCCTGGTTTTCCTAACAAAATATGGCACAGGGGCAAGCAGGCCTTTGCCAGCAGGTAAGTACTAAACGCTGCTTTCTTTGGGAGTAACTTCACTTTACGGGCTAGATCCCAGCTGCTGTCAATGGGCCGTAGCTCCATTGGAGTCCATGGGACCAGACCCCAGCTGGGATCAATCGGCCGTAGCTCCATTGGTGTCTATGGGGCCAGATTCCAGGCGGGGTCAATCTTCCATAGGTCAATTGGAGTCAATGGGCCAGATGCTCACTGAAGACTAGTACAGATGTTTCCATCTCAGCCCATCAAAAAGGCAGCAGCTGCTGGGCAGACAGAAACCTCTCATGAGTCAACAATTGAAAAGTGCTTAGTGATTTTGAATCCCTCGTGTTTGGGGGTACGGCTTTGAAAACCTTCGAGGACCCTGTTTTCAGAAAGCGCCGAGCACTTGCCTTCTGAAAATCAGGGCTCTTCCAGATGTCTACAGCTGCACTCCCAGCAACTGAGGCCCCCAAAAACATTTGTCGCTATATCTTGGCCCACAATCCTGATTTGCCCTGCAGCCGTGCCCAGATGTCCCCAGTGCGGCCCAGACATGGACACAAGGGAGACTGGGGCTCATTGTGCCAGGCACTGCATAGGCACACAGTGAAAGTCAACCTCTGCCCCGTCTGCATTCAGGAGCCCGTAGTGCAGGCCATGTACACACTGATCTTCTCCCCTCACTGACCCACCTCGCCCCCGAATTCTGTCTGTTTCTGCTCGCCTGTTACTCCCTGTTCTCTCCCCTCCGCTTTCTGTGCTCATGGGCCCCAGTTCTTCCGACCCCACATCCTGCCTTCCTGCACCTCCAAAACACTGCAGAACAGTCGCCACTGAGAACCGGGACTTCATCTTCATTGCACGAGGAGCTCTCCAATTTTAGGACTATCCCACAAAATTTGGAACTAATGCCATCAATAGGGCTAGAGGAGTCCCATTTCCTCTCAGGGTGGCTGGGTGGAGGGGTCCATCTGACAGGGAAGAGCGCACAGAACGACACCCTCTAGCAGCTGGATTCCAGCTGTGACTGCCAGGGGATCCCCAGTGGGGTTACACAGACAGCCAGGTAATCAGAGCGCAAGGGACATCTCAGCTGGAGTCTCTAGGGCCGAATCCCCATGCCCCTAATATCCGCTGCCTCTTGTCCGCTCTGACTCCCCTGGTCCATTGCCTGGCCTGGCAATAAGGGGTTGGGATAGGTCAGTGCTGGGAAATGCAGGTCTGGCTGGAAGGGGAAGCCGGGCAGTACTGAGGGAAATGGGTGGTGAGGGTTTCAGACACAAGGGGATTGGAGGCCACTCTATGAACCTGGGAGATACGTTCCCAGCAGGCTCCGCTGTAAGCCCCTGGGGAGGGGGGTTCTTCCTGGGCACAGGGAGGAGAATAGACGTAAGGTGCCGGAGAGCAAGTGGGGGCGGGGGGGGGGGGTGGAGGGAGAAGGGAAGTAGAGTGGTCTATATAAGACAAAGCCCCTAATGTCAGGACGGTCCCAATATCAGGCCGTCTGGTCACCCTTAATGGAGAGAAAAAAACACCCATTATTTCTTGCAGGGCGGACAACAAAACCCAGGAGCCCCGGTGAGTTATGGGCTGGATGTTATTTAATATCACCTGAGGGCCCCCCAGGCAGGGAGATGAGATCCGAACCAAGCGCCCCAGTGTAGCGATGGGAGTCCCGTGTCTCTCATGCTGGGTGGGCAGAGGGGTCCATCTACCAGGGAAGAGCCCACCCAGTGTCCTGCTCTGCCAGCGGGATTCCAGGGTGACTGCAAGGGGCTCCCCAGTGGGGTAACACGGGCAGTCCCGGTGATCAGCGCACAAGGGGCATCTCAGCTGCTGGTTCCCTGCAGAGTCAGGGCTTCACAGCTGGGACTCCAGGCCCCTTCCCAGCTGGCTCCTCCTACCCCCCTCTCTGTATGAAGGGGCCAGTGGAGACTCTGCCCCACCTCGTGTCTGGCTCGGCCCAGGCCAGCGCCCTCTCTGTGCGAGGACCCAACGCGGGAAGGGAAACCCCCGGAGAAGGGATGTTTCCAGGTCAGGGTCCCCTGCTGGATCTGATGTCCCCATGACGGAGGGGAGAGAATGGGGACCAGCACGTTAACCTCTGGTTCTTTCTTACAGCCTGGTTTTGGTTTGAACCTGGGGCTGGTGAGTGTCTGCTTATTTGTTTGTATTATGGCAGCTCCTAGAGGACAGGGACCGTTGCACTAGGCTGCGGTATAAGGATGGCTCCCGCCCCCAAACCTCTGTCAAAAGATTTGTCTTCCCTGTGGCACCTCCTGCTGGCCGAGCCTGGCCCTGCAGGTGCCCCCTGCCACAGTTTCCTCCTTGAGGTGTAACCACGGGAACAGCTCATCCTGTCCCGTCAATGCCAGACAGACTTTGGGGAGGCTGAAAAGCTGGACAGATCTTACTCATCCACGCTTTGGCAGCTCCTGTCTGTAGAAAATGGGTCAGATGCTGGCTCAGCTTCCCCTGCCTGTGGCTCTGTTTTCCTGGCCATCTGCCGGAGACGAGAGATGCTGTTATTTTTGGTTATGTTCATCCGATAAAGCCAGCAGATTTCAGTGACATTTGGCCACATCCCGGGCGATAAGTGTTTTCAGAAGACTCTGAGTCCGATGGAATCTCTAGGGCTGAGTCTCAATGACCCGACTACCCGCTGCCTCTTGTCTGTTCTGTCTTCCATCGCCTGTTCTTTGCCCCGCAAGGTCACTGCTATGAAGTGTAGTTACAGCCAGAAGGGGGAAAATCAGGGCTGGGAGGAAATTCTTGGTGTGGGGCTTTGACACGATGGAATTGACACTCAATGTGAGAACCTCGGGAGATACATTTCCAGCAGGCCCCCCAGTCAGCCCTTAGCACTGTGTTGGGTCTCATCCTGGACACGAGAGAGGAGGACTGAAGAGAAATAACCAGCAATTATTTCTTGCAGGGCCAATAAGAAAACCCAGGCGTCCAGGTGAGTTATGGGCTGGATGTTATTTAACATCATCTGAGCGTGTCCTAGGCAGAGAGGTGAGATCAGAACCAAGAGCCCCAGTGTGATGATGGGAGTCCCATTGCGTCTCATGGTGGGTGAGCAGAGGGATCCATCTAACAGGGTCCCCTGCTAGTTCAGGTATCCCCATGACAGAGGGGAGAAAATAGGGACTGGTATGTTAACCTCTGGCTCTTTTTTACAGGATCCTTTTAAGATGGGCATCAACGTGGTAGAGACTCCAGCAATCCTAAAACCATGAGATTGCTGGAGTCTCTAGGGCCGAATCCTCACGTCCCAAATATCTGTTGCTTCTTGTCTGTTCTGACTCCTCTGTTCTATTGCTTTGCCCAGCAATAAGGAACCAGGGCAAGGTTGCTGCAGAAGGTATGGCTAGACTGGAAAACCAATGCAGCAGGGGCGGGGGGAGGACAAGGAACAAGATTGGGGAGGGTCTCAGCCATACTGGGGAAGGAGGCCAGTATAGGAACGTGGGGGAGATATCCCCCCAGCCCCTAGCACTGTGCTGGGTTCCCTCCTGCTGGACAAAAATTCCAAGTGAAGAGAAATAACCTCCAATTATTTCTTGCAGGACAAAGAACAAAACCCATCAGGCCAGATGAGTTATGGGCAGGATCTTATTTTGTGTGTCATCTATGGGCTTTTAAACCTAGCAGAGTAAGAACCAATGGCTAGAAGTTAAAGCCAGGAAAATTCAAATAAGAAATAAGGCCCAAATTTTTAATAGTGATGGTGATTAACCATTGGAACAATCTCCCCAGGGACATGGTGGATTTTCTCGCTCCTAATGTCTTCAAATCCAGACTTGTGCCTTAGTCAGACTCAAGTAGTGAGGCCACTGGGTGAATTTCTCTTGCCTGTGTTTTACTGGAGGTCAGACTAGATCTGGGGTTCTCAAACTGGAGGTCGCAAGGGGGTTGCAAGGTTATTACATGGGAGGTCGCAAGCTGTCAGCCTCCACCCTAAACCCGGCTTTGCCTCCAGCATTTATAATGGTTGTAAATATATAAAAAGGTGTTTTTAATTTTTAAGTGGGGTCCCACACTCAGAGGCTTGCTATGTGAAAGGGGTCACCAGTACAAAAGTTTGAGAACCACCAGATTAGATGATCATAATGGTCCCCTGTAGCCTTAACATCTAGGACTCTATGAAACGTGCCCTGTACTTCACACTCGATGAGCCTGTAGGAGCCTTGGTTAACAGATGCGAGTCTTCTAGCTGAGGCAGTAGAGACTCCTGCTCCGAGACTCAGCGGTCCCCTGTTGGATTCCTGCTGATCACCCACCCAGGGACATGGCATTACAAGGCTGCCCCGAATTTACTCTGGAAAGAGAGCGTCCACATGGTGCATTATACTAGTATAACTATATTGGTTTAAATTCACACTTTAGCTTATAGTGGGAAAACTTCCCAGTGTAGACAAGGCCTTAAACTGTAAGATTTTGGGGGCAGGGGCCATCCCTTATGTGGATGGGCCCTGAACCAGGAGTGGACCCCTATCCATGCTATTCTCACTGCTAATAAAACCAATAGGGTTCATCTTGGAGAAAGCTATAAAATTGTTTACAAGGATTTTATGTCCTATCTAGCCGTTTGTCCCTTTGTCCCTGTCTGGCGCATGTAGAGAGATTTATGAGTCTGTCATTAGCTGTAAACTAACAGGCCATGGATGTTGTGTGTGTTATGAAACATCGTGGGCTGCACAGATCCTGGTGTAAATCAGGAGGGCTGCTCCCCAAAATCTCTCCTCTCCCTCCTATTATGCTGATGCCCATGTCCCATCATTAAGAAGGCTTGCAAGAATGTCCTCTATTCCACAAGGGAGAGGGGTAGCTACAGAGAGACTTACACCCTGTTAGCCGGAGGAGCTATATGTGAAATCCCTGCACTAAGGATTTTTTGCAGCTTATTATATGGCTTATTCGCTGGTATCTTGGTTACCGGGTATAAGGACCTTCATGAGGAATACCAGGTACTAAAGGGCTTTTAAATCTAGCAGAGTAAGAACCAATAGTTAGAAGTTAAAGCCAGGCAAATTCAAATAAGAAATAAGGCCCAAATATTTAACAGTGATGGTGATTAACCATTGGAACAATCTCCCCAGGGACACGGTGGATTTTCTCGCTCCTGATGTCTTCAAATCCAGACTTGTGCCTTCGTCAGACTCAAGTAGTGGGGCCACTGGGTGAATTTCTCCGGCCTGTGTTATACTGGAGGTCAGACTAGATGATCATAATGGTCCCCTATAGCCTTAACATCTAGGACTCTATGAAACATGCCCTGTACTTCACACTTGTTTTCTTTCCCCTTCCAGCCGTAAAGGTTCAAACAGCAGGATGATCATTGAAATGTCAGCTGGGAACCTGGCTATGATGGTAAGAAGGAAGACCCATCTTCCACGCTCTCATCTCCTCAATCAAATGCTAACCGCAAATTGTGTAGTAACAAGTGCTGTGAGGGGCTGGGGCAGGAATGAAGTTCTGAGAGTTGATTTTGCTGCCTTTAATCAGCAAGCAGACAATGGGGACGTTCACTAATGTTTACACCAAGAACAGCAGAAGCTTCACAAGGAATGGAAATAAATCTCACCAGCAAACCATTTCTCTCCTCTCCATGTTCATTGGTGATAAATTTAATATTTTTCTTTGCATCACAATGGAATGTTGCACCATTTAAGATAGTGCCAATTCCTATTCAAGAGTGGTATGAAGGCTGGTCTGGGTTAAGGCATCAGGACTCAGGACTCCTGCTCTCAGTTGCTGGCTCTGCTACAGAATCTCTGTGTGACCTCATGCAAGTCACTTATCCTCTCAGCTCCCTCGCCTATAAAAGGGTGAGAATATCCCTTAGTTGGTCTGTTTAGAGTGTGAACTCTTTGGGGGCAAGGACAGTTTCCCTCTTTGTGTGTCTTGGCAGTGCCTGGCACGATAGGGCCCTGATCTCAGCTGATGCAGGGACTATCTCTCATGTGTCCATGCAGTGCCTGGCTGTCATGGAGTGGGGGGGGGGGTCAGGGCCCTGCAGCCCCCTCCACTTCCTGCAATTCACCGTGACTCTCAGCCAGCCACTAAAACAGAAGGTTTATTAGACAACAGGAACATGGTCTAAAACAGAGCTTGTAGGTACAGAAAACAGAACCCTTCACTTAGGTCCATCTTGGGGGTAGGGAGCCCAGACCCAGATTTTGGGCCTCCCCCCGTCTCCCCAGCCAGCTCCAAACTGACACCCTCTCCAGCCCCCTCCTCTGGCCTTTGTCTCTTTCCCGGGCAAGGAGGCCACCTGATCTCTTTATTCTCCAACACCTTCAGTTGGCACCTTGCAGGGCAGGGGCCCAGGCCATCAATTGCCAGGAGACAGGGTGTCGGCCATTCTCTGTGCAGACACCATCACACCTGCCCTCTAGGGCTCTGCAACAATCACACCCCCTTATCCCCTCACCTAGATACTTAAGAAATGCATCGGGGAAACTGAGGCACCCACACAGTATTCAGAGAAAACATTAAGAACATTCCCACTTCATCACACTGGCACAACTGGGACCTGATTTCAGGTGGAGTCTCTAAGCATTACTGACATAAAAAACAGTGCTCATACTAATAACAGGGTGGGGCTTGGGGCTGTTAAAAAGTTAATATTGAAAGTTATAGAATAGTACGGGCTGCACATATTTATTAAGGGAAGCATAAAAGATAAGGAGCCCCACTACGCTATTGTGCCCCTATAGGCTTGGCTGCTGACAGATGTCAAGTACTGAGCCACCCCACCCTGTTAGAATTTTTCAAGGGAGTGGACAAATGTGAAAGGGAGGAGTCCAGAAGATATGATTTGTTTGGGCTCTCACAACTCCTGCGATAAAGCCCCGCACTACGGGATATTGAGGAGCCCGGTCTTTGGGTGAGAGGTACCCATGGATCAGTAGGAACAGGAATCAGCGTACGGGTAGATGGTCAGTTTTTAACACGGAAGGAGTTCAGCAGTGGGGGTTCCAGCTTATACCCCCGCTAAGGCAGTATGAACTAGTGGTTGGGGCAGGAGTAGGGACTCCAAGGTTCTACTATGGGAAGGGAGTGAAGTCTGATAGTTAGACCAGCCAAATGGGAATCAGGCAGGACCCCTGGGTTCTATCCACCGCTCTGGGTGGGCAGCGGGGCCTAGTGGGTTCCAGCACAAGGAGTAGCATCCAGGACTGTTGGGTTTTATTCCCAGCTCTCGGAGGGGAGTGGGGCCAGTGGCTAGATCAGCAGACTTGGGAGTCAGGACTCCTGGGTTTCATTCCAAGCTCTGCCACTGATTGAGTCTATGTCCTTGGCCCTCTCTCTAGGCACATCTGTAAAACAGGCTCCCCAAAGTGACCTGCTTTTGTAAAATGACAGGGATGAAATGCCCCATTTAAGACCTAAGTATCATTTGTAAGACCAGTCTGGAGGAGGGAGGAGTGGACAATGAGAAGGCACCACTTACCAACAATACACATTGGTTAGTTGGGTGTAAAGAAGATTGTGAGGCACTTCAGAAGGAGCTAACAAAGCTATGCGATTGGTCAAGAAGTGGTGGACTTTCCATCTCTCTAGAGAGCTGGTGGATTCTCTAGCATAGGGAAGTCTTTAAATCAAGACTGGGTCCCTTTCCGAACTATCTCAAACAGAACTTACCAGCTTGATGCAGGAATTATTGGGTGAGGTTCTCTGGCTTCTGTTATGCAGGAGGTCAGACTGGATGATCATAAGGGTCCTTTCTGGTGCTCAGATCTTGTTGTGCCAGGTGCTGCCCAGACACAGTGATAGATAGTCCCTGCCCCCACTGAGATCAGGGCCACGTTGCGTATGATATAAATCAGTGTCACTTCACTGGCATCAATGGGCCAGGTCTGCAACTGGTGTAAATTGACATTGCTCTGTTGGAGCGTATGGACAGGCGTTGGTTTACACCCATTGAAGATCTGATCCAATCACCATACATAGCTGTCTTTTATAACATGCAAGGAGGGTTTGATCATTATTCTGTGTGGGATTTATTATATGGTGCAAAGGTCTTTGTGCCAACCCTAAACATTGGCATTACTCTCACCTTGTGTGAATTCCCAGATTAACTCACTGGGCCAGATACTCTATGACTGAAAGAGTGTCACGTGCTCTGGAATTATGCCAGCTCTGGATCTGACTTCCTTGACTCCACTGAAGCTGCTCTGATACACACCCACTGGAGAGCTGGCTCATTGATCTAGTCCACAGGCCATTGGCTTCACAGGCTGGAGAGCTATGTCCTACAGCTGGGTCTAGCACAGATCTGCTAGGTGACTTTGAGACGGGCTTGTCCACCCAGAGCCTGAGTGCATGACAAGCCAGCGTAAACATCTACAGCACTCTCGCTTGCTGGGCACACAGTGGCTGCGCGGACCCTGCTAGTGTGCTCTAAAACTTCTGCAGGGCACTTTGACATCCTGGTGTTTCCAATGTCCAAGTGCCCAGGGTAGCAGGGGCCACACAGCCACAGAATGACAGGCAAGATTGTGCTCTGCAGATTACCCCCCAGCTTGCTACGCACTAACTCCATGTGGATAAGCAATAAGTTATTACCCCACTCTGTCCCACTGTTTCCTCTCCAGCCCTTTGCCTACCATGTCTTTTGAGCCTGTAAGCTCTTACTTTGTGTGAAAGGCACATATTTACATCAGCCAGGAAGCTGGCCCTCGGAATTTAATAGAACCATGCCAAGGTGCGTCTGTGGGGCATCTTGCCTGAATTCAGCTTTCTTCACAGAATGGGTTTGATGCCCTGGTTCCAACCTACCACAGAAACTTAGGGGACAGATCCTCACCTGAGGCCAATTGGCATTGAGTCCAGTGGGGCTACACTGATTTACAGCAGCAGCTGCCAAGCTGGGCCCTACCACTCAACGGGCAAGTCCTTATGGTTTGTTAGACGCCCCTTGTGAGAAGTTTTATCGAAGTGCAGTCACCATCTGGCACCAGCCGTCCTTTATTAGCTGTTTCACTGACTTCTTGGGAGAACTGTCCCACAGAGCTTTCCTTACCCTGTTTACTGTTCCAGTTCTCTCATGACCCAGGAGTTGATAAGGTCTTTATCAAGATGACAGGCCAAATCCTGCCTGCAAATGACCACCCATAAAACCTACTGGACCAGATCCTCAGCGGGTGCAAATAGGTGTACATGTCAATAGAGCTAGGCCTGATTCACACCAGGTGGGGTATCACCCCACTGACCCCATTTGGACTGTGGCTGATTCTCACCAGCTGGGCTCTGACCTGTTTACTTTAAAGGTGCTACAGTCAACTTACACCAGCTGAAACCTGGCCTACTGACTCTAATGGAGTGACACTGATTTATGCCATCTGGGATCTGTCCCTACTGCCTAAAATGTAGCTATGCTGATTTGCACTCTCTGGCAATCTGGCTCTGTGATTTCCGTGCAAGTTGCTGGGGACCTGGTCTGGTATCGGTCCAAAAACAACAACTTCAGCCTATCGAAGATAAAAATTTAGAGTAAATATTTAACATCGCACCTTCCCTCCTGCTCTCTGAGTCAGCGCCACAGGCTTCCCTCAGATCTGTGGATTCAACTCGTTTGTGAAACAGCTAGGACAGTGGGGCCCCATCGCTCTGGACTGTGCATATCATAGGAGTAAGGGGCACTCCCGTCCCACCCTCAGCGAGGGAGACAGTGGGAATGCAGATGTCAGGCCATCCCAGGCGGGGCTATTTAGAAATTTTGCACCCAAGAAGTTTCTTTTTGACAAACCTGATTTCATCTACTTCAGTTTTTTCTATGGGCAAAGGTTGATTTCAGCAGAATTTTCCAATGGGAAGAAATACAACAAACCGAAATATAATTTCAAATCGACATTTTCATTTTTGAATCAAAATTTCATTTTCTTTCGAAATATGGATTCAAAATGAAAAATTCCATTTCAACCCATCAGAATGTTTCATTTCAACCCCAAATGTCAGAATTTTCCTTCTGATGCATCAGAGGAAGGTGGAAACCCACCTTCAAATTACAATTGTGCATCGAGGAAAAACATCCCTCCTGACCCCTGCAGGTGACTGGCTGTAGCCCTGAAGCATGGGACTAGATGACAGACATTATCAAATGCAGAGCAAAAAGTGTTATGAACATGTTGGACAATCCTACTGTCACTCAGGCAAAGGAAGGAAGGGGAGGAACACGGAGATTTATCCATTCACAGATTCCAAGGTCAAAAGGGACCTCTGTGACCATTCAGCTGGACCCTCACATTAACAGGCCACAAAATTTCTCCCAGAAGCAGGATTAAAGCACACCTTTCAGAAAGACATCTAATATCGGTCTTAAAGACTCTAGGGGTACATCTACCTGCGTATGAGAGAGAGCCTTCCAGCCCGGCTGCTGGTGGGACGTGTGTGACTGCACTAAAAATAGCTGTGTAGATCAGGAGTTTTCAACTTTTTTTCATTTGTGGACCCCTAAAAAATTTCAAATGGAGGTGCGGACCCCTTTGGAAATCTTAGATGCAGTCTGTGAGCCCCCAGCGGTCTGCGGACCACCAGCTGAAAACCACTGTTCTATGGTAACGTCACCCTTTCGCGGACCCCTTAGACTAGAGGTCCCCAAACTGCGGCGCATGTCCCCATGGGGGGGCACAGAGGAACATTCAAGGGGGTGCGGTGGGCCTGGGCCTGGGTGGGGAGGGAGTGCCGCCCAGCCCTCCCCGCCCCCAAACTAGATGCGGCTCTGCACTGGCTGGGGGCCTGGCTTCCGGCCCCCATAATGGCCTGGCTGCAGCTCCGCTCCCGGCCCCACCCTCTCCCCCAGCCTCGGCCCCTGGCTGCTGCTCTGCTCCTGGCCCAGGGCTGAGGTTGAGGCTGGGAGAGGCCACCAACTCCCCAGTAAGCTGTGTCAAAATTGAATCACCCTCGTGGCTAAGAAACCGCATCTTATTTCAAGGCTGAATTTGTCCAGCTTCAGCTTCCAGCCATTAGATATTGTTATGCCTTTACCAACAAGACTGAAAAACCTCCTGCTATCAGTGTGTAAGTAGCTATACTCAATGATCAAGTGTCTGTTCAACCTTCTCTCACTGCAAGCCTTGTTTTCTAGCCCCTGGATCATTTTGCAGCCCCTCCTTTGAACTGGTTCCAGTATTTCCACACCTTACTTGAAGTAAAAGACACCAAAAGTGGACACAGTATTTTAGTAGTGGTCTTACCTCCACCATACACAGGCACGATCTCTTCCCTCCTTCTGCTTGATGTTCCCTTTTTCATACACCCAGGATCGAATTGGTCCTTTAAGCCACAGCATTGCAATGACAGTTTAGGTTGAGGCGATTATCCTGGATGCCTTTCTAAAAGACACGTCACAGTGCAAAAAGAAGTTATGGCCTTGATGAAGAAATTATTGGATGAGTTTCTCTGGGTTGGGTTTTGCAGGAGCTCAGACTAAATGATTATAACAGTTCCTCCTGGCTATGGATGTATGAAGCCTTTGATGCTCAACATCACATGCCAATGGTCACACTAAACACCACCTTGGAGGCCCAGAGGGCCAGAAAGACAGAGGCCTTTCCTCTGGTTACCCTCTGCTAGGGTGGCCAGATCGCAAGTGTGGGGGAGGGGTACAGCTGCATATAGAAGACAAAGTCCCTAATATTGGGACGTCTGGTCACCATACCCTCTGCCTAACAAGCTACCCTAATGTCATTAATATGAGTTTCCTGCATGCCCGCCATGCCCAGATCCAGCTGCTCCAAAGCACTGAACATCAAGCACCTCCTGGTGTTGATCCTCCATGGGACCACAGTGTCACAGATAATGTGTGTGTGTGTGTGTATAAGATCCAAAATTGCAAGACAAGTCACCTATGACACCAAGTGAGAAGGCAAGAAGGTAGATGCGATGTTTCATATTGACACTAAATATTTATGCTCTCATTCAACCTGAAGCCATTGAGCTTAAGGTAGGAATCAGTGGGAAGAAATTCTATGGCCTCTGTAATGCAGGAGGTCGGACTAGACGGTCATAATGATCCTAATTGGTCTTAAGACCTATGACTTGGATCCTCAGCTTGAATCAGAATAGCACTCCAGTACAGGTACGTGGCCCCACTGACTCCGGTGGCGCTATGGCCAATTTATACCAGCTGGGGATCTGGCCCATGGACAGGATGGGCCCACTGGCTTGACCCAGGGTGGCAACTCCTGTCCAGTGCTGCCAAGCCCACACAATTAAAAAATCACAAATCAGGCCCCCAAAATCGTGAGATTGGCGTAAACATCATGAGATTTTAAAATCATCCGTTGGGTTCTTCTTCTTCTTTGCTGTCTGGGGTTTGAACATTTTTGCTGCACTAGGGTCACGTTTGTAACCTTTTCTAGAAAATGAAAGCGGAGAGTCTCATAAAACCACTTGACTGTGGGAGTGAGAAGGCAGAATGAGCCATGTCTACACGTATGTGTGGTGAAGACGCTCTGTGGCGATGGGAGAGAGCTGTCCCGTCAGCATAAAAGAAACCACTCCCGCGAGCAGCATAAGCTATGTGGGGAGGAAAAACTCTCCCGCCAACATAGCGCTGTGCACACAAGCGCTGATGTCCGTGTAATTTATGTACTAGGGGCACCTTAGAGACTAAGGCTGCTACTCTGAAAAGTGTAATTTATGTCGCTCAGGGGGCGGAATATTCACACCCTTGAGCGACATTCGTTTTGCCGACATAGGCGGTAGCGGAGACAAAGCTTACATCATAATTCCGTACGGTCATGAGCAATACCATTAGGGGAGTTGTACCACTTCAATTATATCAACACAGAGTGCCTGGGTGACTTAGAAACCTACTTCCTGTTTTCAAAGGTGTGCTCCAGGCCAACGACCACTGGGGTTGTGACCTGTGTCCTACGGCCTGACCTAGCTCAGCCTCTCTTGATTCTCAAAACCCTGGGATTGCTGCAGGATGAAAAAGTGAGTGTGAAAGTCTGGGCTGCAGCAGGGTGTGGTGGAGGAAAGATTAAGAGGCAACGAGGGTGTGACAGGGAGAAAGAGGAATGGGAGGATCTAGGGGAGGAGAAGGAAGAAATGGCCTCTCACTGCAATTGCGTTATCAGGGCTTGGAACAATAAGGTGGGCAGTGCCCAGCACAGCATACAGTATAAATATAGTGCTCAGCCTTGCCATCTCCCACGGAGCGTGCCAGACCAGAAACAACTCCACTCCAGAGAGAGTAAAGAAGCAAAGATGAAGGTGTCGTACGTGGCAGCTTTCCTCATAGGGCTCTTCTCCCTGGAGAGCACCAGAGCAGCTCCATTGGTGAGATGATATTCTTATTATTTCTATTACAATAGCACTTAGAGGGTCCCTCTGAAACCAGGACCCCGATTTGCCGGGCGCTGCCCTGACACAGGGGAGACAGTCCCTGCCCACACTCTGGTGAGGATTCATTGTGCCGGGTGATCAACAGACACACAGCGGGGGGCAGACCTGGACCCACCTGGAATCAGGGCCCCCTAAGGTGCTGCACAGACACACCATGAGGGCAGCACTGCAAAACTGGCCCATGTAGGAGGCAGGATACCAGACTAGAGGGGCCCATTCCTCTGTTTCAGCTCCGGGCAGGATATCAGGGTCCACTGGCCCATCGGTCTCACCGGGAGCAGCATTTCTTAAGTTACTGCGTGATGTGACCTCTGGTAGCCTGGTGGGGGGCTGAGCAGCATGCAGTCCTAACTTTTCTTTCTGTTGATGCAGAAAAACCAGTTGTGGTCGGTGGTGAGTATCAGCTGGTCCTCTTTGCTATCAGACTTCAATGCTTTGCCTCAGCAGTATCCTCACTAACAGCACAACTGTTTGCCGGCAAAACCCTCTAGGCAACTGCCCCCCTGCCCTGCTCTACCCATTAATCTGGCTTGGTGAAACAAATTATACAGCCTTGGAATGTCTGTTTTTTTCCTGAGGATTATCTATAGGAGTGACTAGAATGATGTTAGGAGCAGGGCCACGCTGTTGTAAATGGCCAATAGAACTACTGGAGTCAATGAGGCCAGCTCTCCCAGATGATGTAAATTGTCTGTAGCTCCATTTGATCAATGGATAATCAGGAGGGGGCTTCTAGAGGTTACCGTAAAACACAGAATAAATACCCCTCATCTAACAGGGCTCTGGTAGCTTCAGTAATGACAATGTGGGCAATAGCAGCTTTAATGACAACAGCATAAATATCAGTGATTCCCTCCTCATGTCATGTAGCTTTATACATATCAGGTCAATCAACCCTGCTCCAGCTGGTTTCTTGTCTGGTAAAGGTTACCAAGCAAGTAGCATTTCTTGCAGTTTTTCCATGTTACAAAGGCAATTCAGAAATGGCACCTGCTGCAGGGGGCTTACGAAAATCTCCGCAGGCTTATGGCAGGTTGAGCATCTCTGCCAGAGCTCCCCTGCATGGCTATAAATACGCCCCAAGGGGATTTCCAATATCGCCCAGAAGACACTGCTGCTTGGAGCTACTTTAGAAGATCCCCAACCCATATGAACACAGAGTAGGTCACAGGAGGTTTATGGGTGATTGCAAGGGGCTGATGGGAGGTTGACAACTCACAGTTCCCTTGGGGACCCATAAAATTTCTAAAGAGGGGTGATTTCGGTAATCACACACGCTACACTGCACCTAAAAACCAAGCTAGATGGACTCATTTCTCTGCTCCAGCTTAGGCAGGGATATCAAGATAGACTGGGCCATTGCTCTGATTGGGTGTGGCAATTCTTCAGTTACTCAGTGACATAACCCCTGACACCCTGGTGGGGAGTTGAACAGTACGCTTTGCTAACTTTTCCTTCCCTTGAAGCAGAACAACCAGTTCTGGTCAGTGGTGACTATCATCAGTCATCTTTGCTACCAGACTATCGTGCTTTGCCTCCAGGGCATCCTGAATCACTGCTCACTAACAGCCAAATCCTTTGCTGGCAAAATTAACTAGGCAACTGACTTCCTGCCCCTCTTTACCCCATCAGTCAGGTTGGGGTAACAAATTTGCAGCACTGGGATATCGCAGATTTACCAAGAATTATCTCTTGGTTTCCAGCATGTTGGGGCCAGATCCCCAGTTGATGTAAATTTGATGTAGCTTCATTGCAATCAACAGGGCCAGGTTCCCACTGGTGTAAATTGTCCAGAGAAGCACTGGAATCAATATGCCACATAACCAGATGCTAGAAATTGTCCATGGCCCCACTGGGTCGATGGAATATCCATTGCAGCCCTATAGGTGTTACCAAAATAAACATAAACATCCCTCATCTTGCAGGAGTCTGGAAGTGTAAACACCGGCAACGTTGGAGATGGCAGCTTTGACGACAACAGCGTAAGTACCAGAGATTACCTCTCCATGCCATGTAGCTTCACACACATCAGTGAATGGATCCCGTTTCAGCTAGTTTGATGTCTGTTACCGTACGCCTGTGAGTAGCATTGGCTGCATTTGCCCATGTTGCGAAGGCAGCAAGGAATGTCCTCCTGCTTCACAGGGCTTATGAATATCTCCCAGGGCTTATAGCAGTTTGACCTTCTCTCACACAGTCCCTGGGGTAGCAATGAGAAATGCCAGAAGAATTTTTCAATATTGCTCAGAAGACACTTCTGCTGCGAGCTACCTCAGGGGTTCACTAGGGGAACACATATTTGGAAGGCTGATATGAGATTGCCAGGGTTGAAGGGAGGTTGCCGTCCCCACAGTTCCTTTGGGCACCCATGAAATGTCCTGCAAGAGAGTCTTTGACATCACCCACAATGCATTGCACCTGGGAGATATCCCAAGAGCTTTGGGATACCTGCTCATCCCCACTTGGGGCCTCATGAGAATTTCCCATGGCCTCATGGAAGATGAACTCTTCTTCTACAAATCCACTCGATAGGCAGGAAGTGTCCCACAGTTACTTTGGGTGCCCACAAAATATCTCACCAGAGATCCTTCCGAAATCACACAAAATGCACTGCTCTTGGCAACAGTCCTTGGAACTCAGGGTAAATTGTGGCCTATCTTGGCTGACTCCTTTGCTAGTAGATTAAATTTGCATCATCTCATCTGAGTGGGAATAACATGCGGCTTGTTTCTTGTGGCACAATAAAGGAGACCTAGATAGCTATGAATAACAAACCTACTTAGCTGTGAGAGGTGATCAGCATAGTATAAGAGCTGAAGTTGTAGATTAGCACCAAGGAGATATTACCTAGGTTTGTGGCATTCATCAGGCCAGCACTGGAAGAGTGGGCGTTTTAGGAGATATGATTGAGGGGCCCATTCCACTGTTCCAATCTGGGGAGGGTCATCAGGGTAGATTGACCTATTGCTCAGATCTGCTGTGGCTATTCTTAAGTTACTAGATGGTACAAACTCTGCTATCCTGGTGGGGGGTTGAACAGGGGGCATTCCTAACTTCTCTTTCTGTTGCAGCAAAACAACCAGTTCTGGTCAGTGGTGAGTATCAACAGTTATCTTTGCTATCGGACTATCTTGCTTTGCTTCAATACTATTCTGTATCGCTGCTCACTAACAGCCCGATCTTTTGCTGGCAAAGCCCTCCAGGCAATTGCTGTCCTGACCCCTTTGATCCCATCAGTTGGGCTTGCTATAACAAATCTGCAGTCTTGGGATGTCGGAGCTTTACCAAGGATTATCTCTTGATTTCCACCCGTGGATGAGAATGATGATGGGGGCAGACGCCCAGTTCATGTAATTTTGCCGTAGCTTCATAGAAATCCATGGAGCCAGGTTCCCACTGGTGAAAATTGTCCAGAGAAGCACTGAAATCAATATGCCACATCCCCAGATGCTGTAAATTCTCCATGGCCCACTGGGTCGATGGAATATCCGTTGCAGCCCTATAGGTGTTACCAAAATATACAAAATAAACATTCCCCATCTTGCAGGACTCCGGAAGTGTAAAGACCGGCAACGTTGGAGACGGCAGCTTTGACGACAACAGCGTAAGTACCAGAGATTACCTCTCCATGCCATGTAGCTTCACACACATCAGTGAATGGATCCCGTTTCAGCTAGTTTGATGTCTGTTAACATATGCCTGTGAGTAGCATTGGCTGCATTTGCCCATGTTGCGAAGGCAGCAAGGAATGTCCTCCTACTCCACAGGGCTTACGACTATCTCCAGAGGCTTACAGCAGGTTGACCGCCTCTTCCACAGTCCCAGGGTAGCAATGAGGCATGCCAGAAGAAGCTTTTTGACATGACTCAGAATGCACTTTTCCTGGGAGCTACCTCAGGGGGTTCCCAGGTGAACAAATATTTGGGAGGTTTATATGAGATTGCCAGGACAGATGTGACGTTTTCATATCCACAGTTCCTTTGGGCACCCCTGAAAGAGAGTCTTTGACATCACCCACAATGAATTGCACCTGGGAGATATCCCAAATTTTTCGGATTCATCCTCATCTCCACTGGGGGCCTCATGAGAATTTCCCATGGTCTCATGGTAGATGATCTCTTCTCCTACAAGTCTACTGGATAGGCATGAAGTGTCTCACAGTTCCTTTGCACACCCACTAAATCTCTTACAAGAGATCCTTCCAAAATTACACGTAATGCACTGCTTTTGGCAAGAGTCGTAGGAACGGAGCGCAAATTGAGGCCTATCTTGGCTGACTCTTTGCTATTAGATTAAATTTGCATCATCTCATCTGAGTGGGAAAAAATGCGGCTTGTTTCTTGTGGAATAATAAAGGAGACCCACATATCTATGAATAAGGATCGTCCTCAGCTGTGAGGGGATCTCAGAAAAGTATAAGAGCTGAAGTTGTAGATTGGCACTGAGGAGATATTACCTATGTCTACGGCATTGCTGAGGCCAGCATTGGAATACCGGTCCTTTTAGTAGAGATGATTGGGGGGCCATTCCTCTGTTCCAGCCCGGGGAGGGACATCATGGTAGCTTGACCGATTGATCTGATCTGGTGTGGCTGTTTTGAAGTTACTAGATGGTACAACCTCTGCTATCCTGGTGGGGAGTTGAACAGGGGAGTCTTTGACATCACCCACAATGCATTGCACCTGGGAGATATCCCAAGAGTTTTGGGATACCTGCCCATCCCCACTTGGGGCCTCATGAGAATTTCCCATGGCCTCATGGAAGATGATCTGTTCTTCTACAAGTCCACTCGACAGGCAGGAAGTGTCCCACAGTTACTTTGGGTGCCCACAAAATATCTCATCAGTGATCCTTCCGAAATCACACGAAATGCACTGCTCGTGGCAAGAGTCCTTGGAACTCCATGTAAATTGTGGCTTATCAAGGATACCCTGGCTGACTCCTTTGCTATTAGATTAAATTTGCATCGTGTCACCTGACTGAGAATAACATGTGGCTTGTTTCTTGTGGAATAATAAAGGAGACCCACATATGTATGAATAAGGAACATCCTCAGCTGTGAGGGGATCTCAGCATAGTATAAGAGCTGAAGTTGTAGATTAGCACTGAGGAGATATTACCTATGTCTATGGCATTGCTGAGGCCAGCCCTGGAGTAGTGGGCCTTTTAGGAGATATGACTGAGGAGCCCATTCCTCTGTTCCAGCCCGGGGAGGGACATCAGGGTAGCTTGACCGATTGCTCTGATCTGGTGTGGCTGTTTTGAAGTTACTAGATGGTACAACCCCTGCTATCCTGGTGGGGAGTTGAACAGGGGGCATTCCTAACTTCTCTTTCTCTTGTAGAAAAACAACCAGTTCTGGTCAGTGGTGAGTATCAGCAGAAATCTTTGCTATCGGTCTAACATGCTTTGCCTCAATACTATTCTATATCGCTGCTCGCTAACAGCCCAACCCTTTGCTGGCAAAGGCCTCTACGTAATTTCCATTCTGACCCCTTTGATCCCATCAGTTGGGCTTGGTGTAACTGATCTGCAGCCTTGTGATGTCGGAGCTTAACCAAGGATTATCTCTTCGTTTCCACCCGTGGATGAGAATGATGTTGGGGGCAGATGCCCAGTTCATGTAAATTTGCCGTAGCTTCATAGAAATCAACAGGGCCAGTTTCGCACTGGTGTAAATTGTCCATAGAAGCACTGGAATCAATATGCCACATCCCCAGGTGCTAGAAATTGTCCATGGCCCTGTGGGATCAATAAACTAACCTTTGGAGCCCTATAGGTGTTACCACAATACACAAAACAAACATTCCCCATCTTGCAGGACTCCGGAAGCGTAAACACCGGCAACGTGGGTGACGGCAGTTTTGACGACAACAGCGTAAGTACAGGAGATTACCTCTCCACGCCATATAGGTTCACATACAGTGAATGATCCCGTTTCAGCTAGTTTGATGTTTGGTAATCTTTCGCTGCGAGTATCATTGGGTGCGTTTGCCCATGTTGGAAAGGCTGCAAGGAATGACCTCCAACTCCACAGAGCTTATGAATATCTCCAGAGGCTTATAGCAGGTTGACCTCCTCTTCCACAGTCCCCGGGGTAGCAATGAGGCGTGCCAGGAGAGGCTTTTTGACATGACTCAGAACAAATGCACTTTTCCTGGGAGCTACCTCAGTGGGTTCCCAGGTGAACAAATATTTGGGAGGCTTATATGAGATTGCCAGGGTTGATGGGAGGTTGTCATATCCACTATTCCTTTGGGCAACCCTGAAATAGCCGGAAAGAGGGTCTTTGACATCACCGACAATGAATTGCACCTGGGAGATATCCCAAATTTTTCGGATTCATCCTCATCTCCACTGGGGGCCTCATGAGAATTTCCCATGGTCTCATGGTAGATGATCTCTTCTCCTACAAGTCTACTGGATAGGCATGAAGTGTCTCACAGTTCCTTTGCACACCCACTAAATCTCTTACAAGAGATCCTTCCAAAATTACACGTAATGCACTGCTTTTGGCAAGAGTCGTAGGAACGGAGCGCAAATTGAGGCCTATCTTGGCTGACTCTTTGCTATTAGATTAAATTTGCATCATCTCATCTGAGTGGGAAAAAAATGCGGCTTGTTTCTTGTGGAATAATAAAGGAGACCCACATATCTATGAATAAGGAACGTCCTCAGCTGTGAGGGGATCTCAGAATAGTATAAGAGCTGAAGTTGTAGATTGGCACTGAGGAGATATTACCTATGTCTACGGCATTGCTGAGGCCAGCATTGGAATACCGGTCCTTTTAGTAGAGATGATTGGGGGGCCCATTCCTCTGTTCCAGCCCGGGGAGGGACATCATGGTAGCTTGACCGATTGATCTGATCTGGTGTGGCTGTTTTGAAGTTACTAGATGGTACAACCTCTGCTATCCTGGTGGGGAGTTGAACAGGGGAGTCTTTGACATCACCCACAATGCATTGCACCTGGGAGATATCCCAAGAGTTTTGGGATACCTGCCCATCCCCACTTGGGGCCTCATGAGAATTTCCCATGGCCTCATGGAAGATGATCTGTTCTTCTACAAGTCCACTCGATAGGCAAAAAGTGTCCCACAGTTACTTTGGGTGCCCACAAAATATCTCATCAGTGATCCTTCCGAAATCACACGACATGCACTGCTCTTGGCAACAGTCCTTGGAACTCCATGTAAATTGTGGCTTATCAAGGATACCCTGGCTGACTCCTTTGCTATTAGATTAAATTTGCATCGTGTCACCTGACTGAGAATAACATGTGGCTTGTTTCTTGTAGAATAATAAAGGAGACCCACATATGTATGAATAAGGAACGCCCTCAGATGTGAGAGGATCTCAGCATAGTATAAGAGCTGAAGTTGTAGATTAGCACTGAGGAGATATTACCTATGTCTATGGCATTGCTGAGGCCAGCCCTGGAGTAGTGGGCCTTTTAGGAGATATGACTGAGGAGCCCATTCCTCTGTTCCAGCCCGGGGAGGGACATCAGGGTAGCTTGACCGATTGCTCTGATCTGGTGTGGCTGTTTTGAAATTACTAGATGGTACAACCCCTGCTATCCTGGTGGGGAGTTGAACAGGGGGCATTCCTAACTTCTCTTTCTCTTGTAGAAAAACAACCAGTTCTGGTCAGTGGTGAGTATCAGCAGAAATCTTTGCTATCGGTCTAACATGCTTTGCCTCAATACTATTCTATATCGCTGCTCACTAACAGCCCAACCCTTTGCTGGCAAAGGCCTCTACGTAATTTCCATTCTGACCCCTTTGATCCCATGAGTTGGGCTTGGTATAACAAATCTGCAGCCTTGTGATGTCGGAGCTTTACCAAGGATTATCTCTTGGTTTCCACCGGTGGATGAGAATGATATTGGGGCCAGATCCCCAGTTCATGTAAATTTGCCGTAGTTTCATAGAAATCAACAGGGCCAGGTTCGCACTGGTGTAAATTGTCCATAGAAGCACTGGAATCAATACGCCACATCCCCAGGTGCTGGAAATTGTCCATGGCCCTGTGGGATCAATAAACTAACCGTTGGAGCCCTATAGGTGTTACCAAGATACACAAAACAAACATTCCCCATCTTGCAGGACTACGGAAGCGTAAACACCGGCAACGTGGGCGACGGCAGCTTTGATGACAACAGCGTAAGTACAGGAGATTACCTCTCCACGCCATATAGGTTCACATACAGTGAATGACCCCGTTTCAGCTAATTTGATATTTGGTAATCTTTCGCTGCGAGTAGCATTGGGTGCGTTTGCCCATGTTGGAAAGGTGGTAAGGAATGTCCTCCAACTCCACAGAGCTTATGAATATCTCCAGAGGCTTATAGCAGGTTGACCTCCTCTTCCACAGTCCCCGGGGTAGCAATGAGGCGTGCCAGGAGAGGCTTTTTGACATGACTCAGAATGCACTTTTCCTGGGAGCTACCTCAGGGGGCTCCCAGGTGAACAAATATTTGGGAGGCTTATATGAGATTGCCAGGGTTGATGGGAGGCTGTCATATCCACTATTCCTTTGGGCAACCCTGAAATAGCCTGAAAGAGGGTCTTTGACATCACCGACAATGAATTGCACCCGG